ATTGTATCAAAGTTAAGACTCCCTGGTCCCCATAAACAGAGCCTGGGAAGTGGAAGTGAACTGCATGATCTCAAGATTCCGCAACCTGATCTTGTGAATAGCTTTTGATCACTTTGTATTAGATTTATATCAACAATAGACCTGTGAAAGTCTAGCTTCAGCCTTGCTTTCCTTGATGGTTGAGCATTAGGCTATGTGTAATCAGAGCTATTGGCCTTTTAATACCAGGAAACTTGATTCCTGCTTCTCTATGTAGGTTTGGCCCTTGTGGATTCTTCAGGATGTGCAAGTATCATAGGAATGAATAAAGCCAGAAAGATCATCTAAAATAGATGATGACTAGAGTCATTTTGTTTGGGGGAATTACTAAGATGAAGTTTTTCCTGTTATGACATCCAAGATGAGTGGTAATTTGGGCAAAATGATTGTATATCCATAGTATTTCTGTCCTATCCATATTATTCCTTGAGAAGCTGAATATAAATCCCAATTTTTATTATGACTATAAACTCTTTAAAAGTTATCAAGTTAGGGCCTAGAAGGTGGCTCAGTGGTAGAGCCCTTGCCTTGCATGCATGAGGCCCTGGGTTTGATTCCTCAAGCACCACATAAGCAGAAGAAAAAAAAAATCCGAAAGTGGGGCTATGGCTCAAGTGGTAGCGTGCTAGCCTTGAGCTGAAGAGCTGAGGGACAGCGCCCAGGCCCAGAGTTCAGGCCCCACGACCAGACCCAAATAAAAAAAAAAAGAAGAAAAAAAAAGAATTAAAAAAAAAGTTTTCAAGTTAGCTAAGTATAGTGCTTTGAATATACTACCTTTAGAAAAAAATAACTACGGTACTATTAATATTACCTTTAGAAGAAAACATAACTTTTTATTATGACAAACTCTTGAAAAGTTTTTAAGTTGACTACTATTAAATAGAATCCTGGGAAGGTGGCTTAGTGGTAGAGTGCTTGCCTTGCATGCATGAGGCCCTGGGTTTGATTCCTCAGCACCATATAAATAGAAAAGGCCGGATGTGGTGCTGTGGCTCAAGTGGTAGAGCGCTAGCCTTGAACTGAAGAGTTCAGGAACAGCACTCAGGCCCAGATTTCAAGCCCCATGACTGAAGAAAAAAAAAAAAAAAGAATGCTTTATATTCATTATGAATGCATCAACTTTGGAAAAAAATATGCTGTTCAAAATGAGCTAAAAGGACAAGATATAAGAACAAGCATTTTTTAAATACACCTAAATGTATGTTTAAAGATTTTTATTTGGGGCTGGGAAGGTGGCTTACTAGTAGAGCGCTTGCCTTGCATGCCTGAGGCCCTGGGTTTGATTCCTTAGCACCACGTAAGCAGAAAAAGCCAGAAGTGACGCTTTCGTGCTAGCCTTGAGCCGAAGAGCTGAGGGACAGGGCCCAGGCCCAGAGTTCAGGCCCCATGACAGACCAAAAAAAAAAA